TACAGTACAGTGTCCCCGTCACTATACTGGGGCATTAGGATCCACATGGACTGCAGGGTGAGCGCCCCCTACTGCCCCCACTAACACCTCTTCCAGCAGCAACCTTAGTTTTCCCCAGGAGGTCTCCCATCCAGGTACTGACCAGGCTCACACCTGCTGAGCTTCAGTGGGCTGCCAGTTGTGATTTGCAGGGTGATATGGCTGCTGGCTGCTGGGTGTGATGTGTCACCGGTGCTCCCACGTGTGATGGCCCCTCTTGGGCGGTACTGACTCGCGTTCCAGTGACTCGTCGCCTGCGCGGTGCCGGAAGGACCCGGAGAGGAGCTGAGGCCGGGCGGCGCAGTACCGCGTCTGACCACCGGGTGGCACCAAAACACAAGTAATGCCTTCCGCGCCATTTAAAGAACGACAGGCGGTGTTATGTGTAAATACCTTTCGGCAAGAGGGGTCCTGTACGCTTTAAAGACGAAAGCAAAAATCGCTTTAAGGCTGCTTTAGAAGAACTGAGACTTGTGCTCAGATGACAGGGTGGTGCTGTCCTGTTGTTTCAGGCTCTCTGTCCGTCTCTGACTTTCAAACTATTTCTTCTGGCTCATTCGCCCTCAGGAGTTTTATTTACGTGACTGAGGAGTTACACTCTTGCCAGAGCAGATGCAGTTAACCCACCATTTCAAGATATTTACAGTACAAACGCATCGTTGAACATTTACATGCGTCACGTAACCCATTCCTGTGAGGCTGGGTCACTGCTCCTCTTTCTGTTGGTCTGTATGTCTCGACTCTGAAGGCGTGTGTGTGTGTGTCCCCTGAGTGGGGGTGGGGAGGAGGTAGGAGTGCGCGTGTCCCACATGGTGGTGGGTAGGTAGCAGTGTGTGTGTCCTGTGTGGGGGTGGGTAGGGAGTGTTACTGGAGCTGGGCAGTAGCCCTGTCAGCTGTCTGCCTGCTGCTGTGTTTTGTCAATACCAGCTGTGTGCTGCACACACCTGAGCCCCCTCCCCCTGGTTGTACTTGAGCAGAGAGGGAGCCAACCAGGAAACACAGATAAACCGTCCTTGAGCCACTGAGAAACACGCCTGGAACGCAGTGGGCAGAG